AAAAAGATTTGTGGTATTACTTTAAAAGAAAGTGATGGAAAAGAACTACTTCTTAAAAGCGGGTCATGATATATAGATGTAAAATAAAAAAAAACTGTGAACGTAACAACTTAACAGAGGTCATCATATCAACAATACTAGAGATCATTATAAATTGCTTCAACAACTGTGAGGTAAAAGAAAATGGCATTAAATGCAAGCATAATATGGAAATTTCCTCATTCTCTCGTTTCCATATTAAAATGGCAGGAATTACTCCACCACCACCCCCAAAGAAAAATAATTAGAAAAAACTGTGGTAATATCAACCATGATGGAAGTGTTCTTAATGGATGTGCCTTTCCACAAATACACGGAAAACAGAAGACCTAGCATACCAGCACAGGATATAAACATGGGAACAATAACAATAAAAGATGCACACATGACAAAGCATAATGAAAAGCATTTACAGTAATGGTGCCCTACTGAAAGCTATAGATGACTCTGATAGGTAAGGGAAACAGGTGGTAAATAAAGAAAGCAGGCCAGTGTAGCAGCAGCAAAAGAGGTGGTAATGGCAGAAATGGTGGGGAGAAAACAGAAGCGGCAGCAGCGATGAAATTATTATGGCAACAACAATGAAAATATGAGTGAGGGATAGTGAAAATGGCATCAGTGAAGGAGGTCATGAAAGCGATAAACAGGTATGCAACATTGACAAAAGCTGTGGATGAAAAAAGATGCCACGATAGCGTAATAACAGTCCAGGCTACAAAAGACCTCATAATGGTAGAACAGCTTGAGTATCCTTTATCCAAAATGCTTGGGACCAGTATTATTTTGAATTTAGGAATTTGGGATATCTGTTGTTGTTTGCCTTCAAGTCACTTCTGATTCACAGAAATCCCAAGGTGACCCGATCACTGGGTTTTCGGGAACTGAGAAGATGTGATTCATCCAAGGTCACCCAGCAGGTTTCCATGGATGAGCAGTGAACCAAATCCAGGCCTCCAAAGCTATCGTTGAATTCTCAAAGCACTGCACCACACCGGCTCGATTTGGAATATTTACATAATCTTGGGGCATATCTATACTTTAAAATTACTGTAGTTTGACGCCATCTTAACAGTCATGGCTCAATGCTATGGAATCATGGTAGATGTAACATTGCAAGGTCTTCTACATTCTCTGCCGAAGAGTGCTGAGGCCTCACCAAACCACAGTTCTCAGGATTCCACAAACTACAGTTCTCATGGAATTATGGGAGCTATCGTTTGACAACGTCCTGGGCCTTTTCTGCCCAAGAGGGCTGGTATCTCACCAAACTACAACTCCCATGATTATATAGCATTGAACCATGATTGTTAAAGTAGAATTAATGCAATTTGACACCACTTTCAATGTCATGGCTCAATGCTATGGAATCATGGGAGCGGTAGTTTTACAAGCTCTTTAGCCTTCTCTGCCCAAGAGTGTGTATGCCTCACCGAACTTCAACTCCCATGATCACATTAAGCAGTGAATCCCAAATGCTAGTCTTCAAGGGATATTTGGTCTCAGATGCCTTGGATAAAATGATCAGGGGTTCTGGAAGCCCACATCCAAAATTCCTGAAATATCACAGTTTAGGAACCACTCCAAATCCATAACATAGTCATGGCAATAAATCATGGCTGTTAGAGTAAAGTTAATGCAGTTTAATGTCACTTTAAATATAATGGTTCAATGCTATGTAATCATGGAAGCTGTCCTTTTACAAAGCCTTTGCCTTCCCTGCCCAAGGGTGTGGGTGCCTCCCACAAAACTACAAATCCCAGGATTCCACAGCATTGAGCCATGGCCGTTAAAGAAGAAACGATGCAGTTTGGTACAGAATCTTAAAGACCACTTGGACAATCTATACCAGGGGTCCTCAAACTAAGGCCCGAGGGCCAGATACGGCCCTCCAACGTCATTTACCCAGCCCTTGCTCAGGGTGAACCTAAGTCTGAAACGACCCAAAAGCACAGAACAACAACAATCATCTTATCTCATCAGCCAAAAGCAGGCTTACACTTCCCATTGAAATCCTAATAAGTTTATATTTGTTAAGATAGTTCTTCATTTAAATTATTCTTTGTTTTTAAGTGATTTTTGCACTACAAATAAGATATGTGCAATGTGCATATGAATTCATTCATGCATTTTTCAAATTATAATCTGGCCCTCCAACAGTTTGAGGGACTGTGACCTGGCCCTCTGCTTAAAAAGTTTGAGGACCCTGATCTATACTCTGAGGCAGCAAGTTCCATTGTGAAATGGTCAGGAAGGTATTCCTAATGTTCAGGTGGAATTCCCAATAAGACATCAAGATGATGGAATCATGAGAGCTGCCCTTTTATAAACTCTCTAGCTTTCTGCCCAAGTGACTCACAAAACTACAAATCCCAGGATTCAAAAGCATTGAGCCATGGCTGTTAAAGTAGAATAGATGCAGTCTGACATAGAATTATAGAGACCTTGTGGACCATCCTGCCAAAAAGCAGGAAACTTACACTAAAAGCACCCCAGACCAGCCTCTGTTTAAAAGCCTCCAAGGAAGGAGCCTCCACCAGACTCTGAGGCAGAGAGTTCCACTGCTGAACAGCTCTCACAGTCAGGAAGTTCTTATTAATGTTCAGGTGGAATCCCCAATAAGACATCACTTTAACTATCCAGGTTCAATACAATAAAATCATGGAAGATTTGCAAACTCTTTAGCTTTCTGCCAAACTGTAGGTGCCTCACCCATAACTAGAGGCCATGACCTTTAAAGTAGAATGGATGCAGTTTGACACATCTTTTAACTACCCTGGCTCACTACTATGATATCATGGGAACTGTAGTTTTACAAACTCGAGTCTAGTTTGCTGACAAAGTATAGGTGCTTCACCCAAAACTACAAATCCCAGGATTCCATAGCACTGAGCCATGGACGTTAGAGTAGAATCAATGCAGTTTGGCACAGAATCATGAAGACCACATTGGCCATGTAACCCAAAGCTGCACAGTTCTTACAGTCATGAAGTTCTTCCTACTGTTCGAGTGCAATGTCCAATAAAACATCACTTTAACTATCGTTTTACAAACTCTATGGCTTTCTATCCACATGTAGGTGCCTCACCCAAAACTACAAATCCCAGGATTCCATAGTACTGAGCCATGGCCATTAAAGTAGAATCATTGCAGTTTGACACAGAATCATGAAGACCACATGGGCCATGTAGTCCACTGCTGAACAGGTGTTATTACAGTCATGAAGTTCTTCCTAATGTTCAGGTGGCATCCCCAACAAGACATCACTTTAACTATCCTTTTACAAACTCTCTGGCTTTCTGCCAAAATGTAGGTACCTCACCCAAAACTACAAATCCCAGGATTCCATAGCATTGAGCCATGCCTGTTAAGGTAGGATGGGTGGAGTTTGACACCACTTTATCTATGCTGGCTCGACACTATGGATTCATGGGACATGTAGTTTTACAAACTCTATAGCTCGGGCTTGGGTGAACTTGGGCCCTCCAGGTGTTTTGGACTTCAACTTCCAAAATTGTGGGAGTTGGAGTCAAAAAACACCAGGAGGGCCCAAGTTGGCCCAGGCCTGAGCTAGTGGGAGTTGAAGTCCAAAACACCTGGAGGGCCCAAGTCTGCCCAGGCCTGAACTAGCTTTCTGCTCAAGTATAGGTGCCTCACCCAAAACTACAAATCCCTGGATTCCATAGCATTGAGCCATGCTTACTAATGTAGGACGGGTGCAGTCTGTCACCACTTTATCTATCCTGGCTCGATACTATGGATTCATGGGAGATGTAGTTTTACAAACTCTTATAGCTCAGGCCTGGGCGAACTTGGGCCACCCAAGTGTTTTAGACTTCAACTTCCACAATTGTGGGAGATGAAGTCCAAAACACCTGGAGGGCCCAAGTTTGCCCAGGCCTGAGATAGCTTTCTGCTCAAGTGTAGGTGCCTTGCCCAAAATTACAAATCCCAGGATCCCATAGCATTGAGCCATGCCTACTAAGGTAGGATGGGTGGAGTTTGACCCCACTTTATCCTGGCTCRATACTATGGATTCATGGGAGATGTAGTTTTACAAACTCTATAGCTCAGGYCTGGGWGAACTTGGGCCCWCCAGGTGTTTTRGACTTCAACTKCCAMAATTGTGGGAGWTGAARTYCAAAACACCTGGWGGGCCCAAGTTTGCCCAGGCCTGARCTAGCTTTCTGCCCAAGTGTAGGTGCCTCACCCAAAACTACAAATCCCAGGATTCCATRGCATTGAGCCATGCCTGTTAAGGTAGGATGGGTAGAGTTTGACCCCACTTTATCCTGGCTCGATACTATGGATTCACGGGAGCCGTAGTTTTACAAACTCTATAGCTCAGGCCTGGGTGAACTTGGGCCCTCCAGGTGTTTTAGACTTCAACTTCCACAATTGTGGGAGWTGAAGTCCAAAACACCTGGAGGGCCCAAGTTTGCCCAGGCCTGAACTAGCTTTCTACCCAAGTGTAGGTGCCTCACCCAAAACTACAAATCCCAGGATTCCATAGCATTGAGCCATGCCTGTAAAGGTAGGATGGGTGGAGTTTGACCCCACTTTATCCTGGCTGGATACTATGGATTCATGGGAGATGTAGTTTCACAAACTCTATAGCTCAGGCCTGTGTGAACTTGGGCCCACCAGGTGTTTTGGTCTTCAAGTTCCACAATTGTGGGAATTGAAGTCCAAAACACCTGGAGGGCCCAAGTTCGCCCAGGCCTGCACTAGCTTCTGTCAGTGTGTAGGTGCCTCACCCAAATCTATAAATCCCAGGATCCCGTAGCACTGAAAAGTTTCCCGAGGCCTGGCCCCTTCTCTGGCTGGAGCCTCACCAAAAGTCCAACCTGCCTTCGAAGCGGTGTCAAACTGCGTTAATTCCCCAGCGTGGCCAAAAGGTCACCAAAGGGGAGAGGCAGGGATTTCTGGTGGTGGGTGAACGCTTCCCCCTGCCTGGCTCTCACCTGGAGCGGAGGAAGGGGCAGGCGGGTGGGGCGAGGCGGGCCTGCTTGCCGAGCCAAGCCTAGTGAGTCGCCCTCCCCTTGGAACCCGCGCCCGGCCTGCTTCAGGGCCCAGGCGCAGCAGCCCACCACGACGACGACGACGCCTCCTCCTCCCCCTCCATGGCCGCCGCCGCCGCTCCTGCTGCTCCTGCTGCTGCCGCCGCCGCTTACCCGGCTGCTCCTGCTACTGCCGCCGCCGCCGCTGCATTGTGGGAAGCCGCCTCACTCCCTCACTTCCTCACTCGCTCCCTCCTGCCTCCGCCGCGGCCTTCGCCATCGCCATGGGCGCCGTCACCGATGGTGAGAGACCCACCGCCTCCAGAGCCGGCCAAGGAGGGGACAGCGGCCGCCGCGAACCTTCTTGCTCCCAGCCAGCGAGGCCTTCCCGGGCCCTCTCTTTCCTCCTCTCTTTCCTCCTTTCTTTCCCTCAGGCTCGAGTCCCTTCTGCCCTCATGGCCTTCGCCTCAGCAAGGCCTTCACATCCTTCCTCCTCTTCCAGGCCTCCTCTTCCCTCCTCCTCCTCCTCCTCACTGAGGCCTTCCCTCTCTTCTTCCCCCTCCTGGGGTGGTTTTCACCTTTGGGAAGGAGTGTGGGGCGCCCTGAGGCCTCTTCCACACCTGAATGAATACAACCCCACGTTCTCTGCTTTGAACTGGGATAGATGGCACGGTGGACTCAGGCAACCCACACAGCCCTATAGCCCAGAATATCAAGGCAGAAAGTCCCACAATATCTGCTTTGAACTGAGTTATCTGAGTCCACATTGCCATATATCCCAGTTCAAAGCAGAAAATGAGGGGTTTCATTCAGCTGTGTGGAAGGGGCCTGAGTGTGGATTCAGATAACCTAATTCAACGCAGATATAGTGGGATTGTCTGCCTTGATATTCTGGAATATAGGGCTGTGTGGAA